AGAAGAAAGAGGAGAGAGAGAAGAGAGGAGAGAGAGAAAGAAGAGAGAGAGAGAACAGAGAGGAGAGACAGAGAAGAGAGACTGGAGAGAGAAGAGAGACAGAGGAGAGAGAGAAGAGAGACAAAGAGAGAGAGAGAGGAGAGAGAAGAGAGAGAGAACTGAGAGAGGAAATAGACAGAGGAGAGGAGAGAGAGAGGTGAGAGAGAAGAGAGAGAAGAGAGACAGAGAAGAGAGAAGAGAGAGAGGAGAGAGGAGAGAGAGAAAGAAGAGAGAGAGAGAACAGAGAGGAGAGAGAGAAGAGAGACAGAGGAGAAAGAGGAGAGAGGAGAGAGAGAGAAAGAAGAGAGAGAGAACAGAGAGGAGAGACAGAGAAGAGTGACTGGAGAAAGAAGAGAGACAGAGGACAGAGAGAGAGAGGAGAGAGAAGAGAGAGAGAACAGAGAGAGGAGAGACAGAGGAGAGAAGAGAGAGAGAAGAGAGAGGAAAGAGACAGAGGAGAGAGAGAAGAGAGGAGAGAGAGAAGAGAGACAGAGGAGAGAGGAGAGAAATAAAGAAGAGAGAGAGAAGAGAGAGAGAAAGAAGAGACAGAGGAGAGAGAGGAGAGAGGAGAGAGAGAAAGAAGAGAGGAGAGAACAGAGAGAGGAGAGAAAGAAAGAAGAGAGAGGAGAGAGACAAGAGAGACAGAGGAGAGAAAGGAGAGAGATAGGAGAGAGAGAAGAGAGAGAGGAGAGAGAGAGGAGAGACAGAGGAGAGAGAGACAGAGTTAGAGAGAGAGAAAGAAGAGAGAGAGAGAACAGAGACTGGACAGCCAGTTGTCTGGGAATGATAGAGGATCTCCTGCTTGAGCAGGGGGGCTGGACTAGAAGACCTCCAAGATCCCTTCCCTCTCTATTATTCTCCAGATTGCGTGGAGATGATGGGGCCTGGCTCAGTTTTCCTCATTTGTGTTTGTGTCCACCTCGTCCTTACCTTTTTCAAGGCTTCCATTTGAGCCAGGTCTCTTCTGCGGAGCCTCACCCAACGTCGCCGTCGGTTAGTGTGATACATCTTCTCCGCTGGCACCCAAGACTTGGGCTTGTGGTCTGGAGGGATGGTGATGCCGTATTCCCAGCCTCGGAGAGAAGACAGAAAAGCTTGGAATGTTAAAAGGAACTGTGGTTGGAAGCTGATCAAGGAGAGAAGCAACGTGGAATTGAGGAGAAGTTTCCTGACAATGAGGACAATCGACGAGTGGAACAGCTTGCCACGAGAAATTGTGGGCACTCCATCACTGGAGATATTTAAGAGGAGACTGGACAGCCACTTGTCTGAAATGGTAGAGGGTCTCCTGCTTGAACAGGGGGCTGGACTAGAGGACCTCAAAGGTCCCTCCCAACTCTGTTATTCTATTCTATTCTATTCTATTCCTTATTCTCTTCTCTTCCGTTCCGTTCCGTTCCATTCTATTCTCTATTTTCTATTTTCTATTTTCTATTTTCTATTTTCTATTTTATTCTATTCCCTATTCTATTCTATTCTATTCTATTCTATTCTATTCTATTCTATTCTATTCTATTCTATTCTATTCCATTTATTCCATTCCACATTTTCTGTTCTGTTCTGTTCTACTCTATTCCTTTCCATTCTATTCTATTCTATTCTATTCTATTCTATTCTATTCTATTCCTTATTCTCTTCCTTTCCCTTCCCTTCTATATTCTATATTCTATATTCTATATTCTATATTCTATATTCTATATTCTATATTCTATATTCTATATTCTATATTCTATATTCTATATTCTATATTCTATATTCTATATTCTATTATATTTTATTCTATTCTATTCTTTTTCTATTCTATTCTATTTTATTCCTTACGAGATTCTTCATGGTCTCATTTCCTTGTTCAAGAAACAAGAATTTATTTGTCCGGTGAGGGTTTTCTCTAAATCCTTCAAAGCTTTTGAGTTCTCTTTCCGTTATTGTCTATTCTCTACACGTCTGTTATTTATCTTTTTTTTTTTTTTTAAAAAAAAAAAAAATTTTTTTAAAAACTTAACAGTCCAAGATGTTCTATCTGATGGGCAACATCCAGGACGCTCCGGAGATGACGAAAACTTAATAATAATAATAATAATAATAATAATAATAATAATAATAATAATAATAATAATAATAATAATAACAACAACAACAACAGTAGTAGTAGTAGTAGTAGTAGTAGTAGTAGTAGTAGTAGTAGTAGTAGTAGTAAAGTTGGAAGGGACCTTGGAGGTCATCTAGTCCAACCCCCTGCTCAGGCAGGAAACTCTAGACCATTTCAGACAAATGGCTGTCCAGGCTCTTCTTAAAAACTTCCAGTGTTGGAGCATTCACCGCTTCTGGTGGCAGGTTGTTCCACTGGTTAATTGTTCTAACTGTCAGGAAGTTTCTCCTTAGCCAGGAACGTGTTTTTTCCTCTCCAACCGTTTTTTCCCTAACCCCCCCCCCAAAAGAAAGACAGCAAAACACCTTTCTCGTCCACTGCCCGGTTGAGGTCGGTGTCCCACTCCACATCTTCCCATTTCCATCCGAGAGGACACTCAATTTCCTCCTTGGGCAAAATCTTCTCCCCGTTCTGGAAAAACAGAAGAGAATCCAAGGAAGTCCCCCTGGCTCTCCTTTCCTGCACGTCGGAAGAAGCGAGAGGGGTCCCGCGTGCTCTCCCGGACGGGCTGCTTTCCTACGGACATTTTCTTAACCAAACTAGGTGACAGCATCAGTGCTAGTAGCCGGTCTGGAGAGTAGCTAGCCAGTGGACTAGCCGCTAGCCCTGATGGTCCTTAGTTTGGGTAATGGAATATCTGCAAGAAAAGAGCCACGCTCAAGAGCCTCAAGTCCTCCTCCTCCTGTTGCTGCTCCTCTTCTCCTCCTGTCTCTTCTCCGCCTCCTCCTCCTCCCCCTCTTGCTCCTGCTCTTGCTCCTCCTCCTCCTGCCCCTCCTCCTCCTCCTTGCAAACTCCATTCCCTTCTAGCACTGGTGACGTTACCTAGTTGGGTCAGGAAATGTCTGCAAGAAAACCACCCAGCTCAGAGAGCACCAAGGACCCCACAGTCCTCTTCCTCCTCCTCCTCCTCCTTCTCCTCCTCCTCCCCCTCCTCCTCTTCCTCCTCCTCTTCCTCCTCCTCCTCCTCCCCCCTTCTAGCATGGATGATGGTCCCTAGTTGGGTCATGAAACATCTGCAAGAAAATCACCCAGTTCAGAGAGCACCAAGGACCCCACAGTCCTCCTCCTCCTCCTGCCCTTCCTCCCCTCCCTCTCTTCCTCTTCCTCCTGCTCCTCCTCCCCCTCTTCCCGAACTCCATTCCCTTCTAGCACGGATGATAGTCCCTAGTTGGGTCAGGAAACGTCTGCAAGAAAACAGACGTTTTCTCAGAGAGCACCAGGGACCCCACAGTCCTCCTCCTCCTCCTCCTTCCCCCTTCTAGCACGGATGATGTTACCTAGTTGGGTCATGAAACGTCTGCAAGGAAACCTCCCAGCTCAGAGAGCACCAAGGACCCCTCATTTCAACTACAAAAGTTCTCCTTTATAAGTCAGAAGAAAGTTGAGGAGGAGGAGATTCCATGATCCATTAGAAGGAAAAAAAATTTCCCCACCCCAATTACACCAAAGAATTACAGCTCACTTACCACATCTGTGTAGGCTTCGGCCATATGGATCCACTGGCCTCCTGGAAGCCGAACTTGATTCTCAAAGACTTCCTCCACAAAGCTCATGTGACCGGCGTCCACGTCATGCAGGAGCCTGAGTGGTGTAGGAAGGGGTGGGGGGGTGGGGGGAAACTTTTTTCTCTCGCCCTAAAAACGGAAGCCCTCCCAGCCCCCTGGTCTCTGGAGACTCTCAAACCCTCCAGGGCCTGGGGGGGCTTTTTCCAAAAGGCAACTGGACGTTCTTGGGGGTTTTTTCCCCCCATTTTCCTTCTCATCCAAGAAGCTTCTTCAGTTCTGGCTGAATGGTGGAAGACGGAAGGGTTTATTATTATTATTATTATTATTATTATATTATTATTATTATTATTATTATTAATAATAATAATAATAATAATAATAATAAAGTTGGAAGGGACCTTGGAGGTCATCTAGTCCAACCCCCTGCTCAGGCAGGAAACCCTATACCATTTCAGACAAATGGCATCTGAAGGCAGAAGAAGGAGTAATGGATAGACAATAATTAAAGAGAGAGCCAACCTGGAAATAAGGAATATTATTATTATTATTATTATTATTATTATTATTATTATTATTATTATTATTATTATTATTATTATTATTATTATTATTATTATTATTATTAAAAAGTTGGAAGGGACCTCGGAGGTCATCTAGTCCAACCCCCTGCTCAGGCAGGAAACCCTATACCATTTCAGACAAATGGCTGTCCAGTCTCTTCTTAAAAACTTCCAGTGTTGGAGCATTCACCGCTTCTGGAGGCAGGTGGTTCCACTGGCTAATTGTTCTAACAGTCAGGAAGTTTCTCCTTAGTTCTAGGTTGCTTCTCTCCTTGGTCAGTTTCCATCCGTTGCTTCTTCTCCTGCCTTCAGGTGCTTTGGAGAAGAGCTTGACTCCCTCTTCTTTGGGGCAGGCCCTGGGATATTGGAATACTACCTTCCTTCCGGTTATCTGATCGTTAGTACTGTCTCTGAGAGTTGTTTATGCCACTTGGGGATCTCTCTGTATCCTCAGAGTCACCGGGATCAGAGTGTAAACGGGTGTGGAGCCCTCCCGGGACGGTCGAAAGGACTCTGTTGTAGAGAGGGAATACGTGGTGTTGTATCCTCCCCCTCTACACAGAGAGGGCCGCTCAATGTTGACCTAGATGGCCTCTTTGACCCCTCTTTCAAACCAGCGGTCCTCTCTAGCCAGAATGTGGACTTTGGGGGTCTTCAAAAGAGTGACCTTTGTCTTTCTAAGGCAGGTGGACTCCTGAATTAGGGGACTGGCAGCCAAAACAAACCAGGAACGGTTGCTGGAATTGG